GAATTTTCCACAGTTTGTTGTGATCTACATAGGCAAAGTCTTTGGCGTAGTCAATAAAGCAGAAGTAGATGTTTTCCTGGAATTCTCTTGCTTTTTCTGTTATCCAATGGATGTTGTCAATTCGATCTCTGGTTCCTCTGCCTTTTATAAAACCAGCTTGAACATCTGGAAGTTCATGGTTCATGTATTATTGAAGCCTGGCTTGGAGAATGTTGAGCATTACTTTGCTGGCGTGTGAGATGAGTGCAGTTTTGCGGTAGTTTGAACATTCTTTGGCATTGCCCCTCTTTGGGATTGGAATGAAAACTGACCTTTTCCAGTCCTGTGGAGTCCTCTGGGAGGGTCCCCAGACACAGAGTCCCAAGAGAGTCTCTGTGTTTTGTATTATATTTGTCTTTTTTGTTTTGATTTGGTTTCAGGGTAATACTGGCTTCATAGATGAGTTGGAAAGCATTCTCTCTACCATTTTCTACAAAATACATTATGTAGAATTTGTGTTAATTCTTCTTTAAATGATGGATAGTATTCTCCGTTAAACCATATTGACCTGAACGCTCGTTTTTCACATTTTAAATTACTTTAGTAGTTACAGGGCTATTCAAATTATCTGATTCAAATTATTGATTGAGTTCTGGTAGCTTGTACTTTTTTTTTTTAGCTTGTACTTTTTGAGGAATTGATTCATTCACTCTAAGTAGATAGAATTTTTCATGATATTCTCTTATTATCTTTTTGACATCTGCAGGGTATGTAGAAATATTCTGTTTCACTTTCTATATTAACAATTTCTCTCTCTTTTTGTCAGTCTTGCTAGAGATCCATCAATTTTCTTGATCTTTTCAGTGAATCATGTATTTCATTTCCTCTATTATTTTTCTGTTTTCAGTTTCATTGATTTCTGCTTTTATATTTATTATCTCTTTCCTTATGCCTGTTTTAGATTTGTTTTGCTCTTATTTGTCTGGTTTCTAGATATAGAATCTTATGTTATTGATTTGAGGCTTACTTCTTTTTTGGCTTGCAGGAACTTAATTCCCCAACCAGGAATTAAACCCTGGCTCTTTGCAGTGAAAGTACCAAGTCCTAACCACCGGACTACCAGGGAACTCTCAAGACTTACCTTTTTAATGAAAACATTCAGTGCCATACATTTCTCCCTTGTTATCCCACAAAGTTTGTGTCCCACAAAAGTTGTGCCCCACAAAGTTGTGCCCCACAAAGTTTGATAGGTTCTATTTTCATTTTCTTTCAGTTCAATGCATTATTAAATTTCCCTTGAGATGTTCCCTTTGACCCATAGGTTATTTAGAAGTGGCTGTTTGGTTTTCAGGTGTTTGGGGATGCTTCTGTTTTTGATTTCTAGTTTGATTCCATTGTGGTTAAAGCATATACTGTATGTGATTTCAACTATTCCAAATTTTTTGAGGCTTGTTTTATGGCCCTAAATTTGGTTGATCTTGGTGTACATTCTATGCTCACTTGAAAATAAAGTGCATTTTGTTGTTTTGGGCTGGAGTAGTAGTCTGTGAATGTTAGCTAGATACTGTTTGTTGATGATGTTGTTGGTTGATGGTGTTGTCCTTTGCTGTTTTTTGTCTAGTTCTTCTATCAGTTGTTGAGGATCAGTGTTGAAGTTTCCAACTATAATTGTGGATTGTCTATTCTTTCACTTCTACTGGATTTTGCTTCACACGTTCTGTAGCTCTGCTGTTGGGTACTTACACATTTAGAGTGCGATGTTTTGGTGGATCAACCCTTTCCTTATTGCATAATATCCTTCTCTGTCTTGGGTGATTTTCTTTGTTCTGAAATCTACTATGCTGTTGCTGCTTAGATGGCTTCAGTTGTGTCCAACTCTGTGCGACCCTATGAACTATAGCCCACCAGGTTCCTTGGTCCATGGGATTCTCCAGGCAAGAATACTGGAATGGGTAGCCATGCCCTCCTCCAAGGAATCTTCCTGACCCAGAAGTTGAACCTGGGCCTCCTGAATTGCAGGCAGATTCTTTACCACTGAGCCACCTGTATTATAGCCACTCCTATTTTCTTTTTAAAATTGAGATATAATCAACATATAACATTATGCTAGTTACAGGTGTGTAATGTAATGATTCAGTATTTATATCTACTGCAAAACAATCACCACAATAAGTCTGGTTAACATGCATCAGCATAAATAGTTACAATTTTTCTTCTTGTGATGAGAACTTTTAAGATTTACTCTCTTAGCAACTATCAAATATTCAATACAGCAATAGTAACTATAGTCACCATGCTATAACTTACATCCCTAGGATTTATTTATTTATTTTATAACCGGAAGTTTGTACCTGTAACTCACCTCCACCCTTTTGGCCCACCCCTTACTCCCTGTCTCTGGCAACCACCACCTGTTGTTTGTGTCTATGAGTTCATTTTCATTTTCTAAAGATTCCACTTGTAAGTGAGATCATACAGTATTTGTCTTTCTCTGACTTAAGTCACTTAGCATTAATTTCCTCCAGTCCCATCCATGTGGTAACAAATAGCAAGATACTCTTCTTTCATGGCTGAAAAATATTCCTTTGTGTACATATTCTTTATCCACACTTCCATTGATGGACACTTAGGTTGCTTCCATGTCTGCAGGGAATATTGGGATGCCAATATCCTTTCGAGTTAGCATTGTGTTTCCTTCAGAGAAATATCCAGAAGTGGCGTTGCTGTCACAGGGAGCTGGGGCCGGGGGCGTGGCCAAGAAGAGTGAAAATTGGTCACTGGTGACTCCGCTGTGCTTCCCCTTTCACTCTTAGATGCTGCCAGGGTCCCTGAAGAGGGAAGACACATGAAGAAAGAGGTAAAAACTATTTTGTTCTCTTTTGCATTTGACAAGCATGCATGGAGCAGCCGCTGAAAGCTGGCACAAATTTCGGGGGCTGGGAGCACAGTGGGGACTCTCTTCCCTTCGCCTGCCAGTGTGACAACAGGTAGTAGTCCCCTGTCTCTGAGCATCTCTCTGGCGAGTCTTCTGAGAGCAGGAGGGTGCCCTGCCCTCACAGGGTGCCCAGGAGGGGAGAGTGGACCCAGGGAGGCCAGCTCTGAGGTCCTGTGAGGCTCTACGCGGGCTGGTGTTGAGCAGAGCATAGGTCTGGATCCTTTGCGCACAGCGCCGGCTGTCCCCAGCCTCCGCGCACCATCCCACCTCAGCAGCTTTCCAATCGCAGGCCCGGGGCCCACTCCTTGTGCCCCAGAGACCGCCTGAAGCTCCCTGGGGGTAAGCATGCAGCCTTGCTCTGAGAAGTGCCCCTCTCCCACTGGCCTGGCATCCTCCAGCCAGTCCCTAATGAGGGTGTGACTGGTGGCTGCTGGTAGAGGGGCACCCTGGCCCAACCCCTGGAGGCTAGTCTTTGCCACGAGGAATGGATGCTGGTCCTGGCCACAGCCCTTGTGGAAACCCGAAGGGGGCCCAAAGTGCATCCTTCGGAACACTGACCTTGGGACTAAAGCATGTAAAATAGTTCCCCTGGCTAAAGAAGTTGGGGTCTTGAGCTGTACTCTAAACTCCATGCTGGGAAATTCATGAGGCATATATAGTTGGTCAAAGGGCCTGAAAAGGTCTATGCTAAAGAATCCCATTTCACATTTTTTAATCCGGCTTCTCTCAGATGGATATGACCTTGAAAACTTTTTTCTGTGTAATGTGATTAACACCTGGGAGCTATATGGTCCCTGCGTGGAATGTCTACCCGATCCGTGCCCGGAGCCAGACCAGCATGACTTCTGGGCCTGGGAACAGGCCCCTTTCTTCCTTTCAGCCAGCAGCCTAGCTTTCCCCACGCTGGTCGTGGACATCCAACAGTCCTTAGCCTAAGCCATGCAACCGGAGGAGATAAACAGCCAGAGCTGTTGGGGGCAGGGGCGCTGATGTGTGGGAACTGTTGGCTGGGCAGGGAGGGGGTGGGAGGAGACGAAGGTCTGGGCTGAGACAGGAGACACACTCTGTTGGCCTGTCCTGGTGACCCCCCCGTCTTCCCCAGGGACAGGCCTGAAGGGCGCAACCATGCAAATTGGGACTTAAATTTAACTCTATGTAAATGTAACTCTATAAAAGTCTAGTGAGTTAGCTGTCCAGCTCATTGCGTGCGCGCGCGCGTGCACACACACACACACACACACACACACACAGAGGCAGCGGTTGCACATGGGTGGCCCTTGGATTACCTCTAGCCCACAGACAGGTTTTGTTTGACCAGAGTGGTATTTATTTGTCTTGTTTTGTTTTTCAAAGCAAGACACGAAACTCTGGCTTCTTGCTGCTTTTAAAACAGCAAATGATAGGGCAGTGCTGGGCTCATGTTCCCACTTGACTGGAACTGAGATAGGCATGGCCTTTACTCAAGGCTGGTGTCCACACCTGGTTGATTAGTTTCCTACTGAGCCCAGGGTACGGGGCAGGGGGGGCAGTGCTCTGAGTGGTCCCTTGAACCACATTCTCCTGAGTCCTCCCAGATCCATCTAAATGCTCTCCTGGCATCATATTTAATGACTGGCTTTAGAGTTGTTGTTGTTGTTTTTTCTCCTGGTCTTTAAAGTCAGAGTTTGGCCCTGTCTCTTTCCTATGTGAAACCCTTCCTTGGTTGCCCCAAGGTAAGCTCCAAGTCACCTAGGACCTGGCATTTGAGGTGCTCAGCAGTTTGGTGCCACTCAAAACTTAAGAGCTGGCCAGCAAGTTTATAGAAGTTTGGATGGATGGTTGATTGGATGGATGGATAGTCTGGAAGAAAGGAAGAAATGCTAGTCCTACATGGTGTTGGGCTGATGGGAGAGGCATGGCATATACCGAAAAGGCCCATGAGCTTCTAGAATTCCCTATCCTGCTGTGCAACCAGTCACTGTCCTCCTGGGATCAGGGGAAAGGGGTTGGCGTAGGTGCGCAAGAAGAGCTGTCTGGAAGATGTCAGCGACCAGGTGGCTCAAAGACAAACTCTTCCTGGCCCAGGCTCCTGCCTAGACACAGCACCATGCACCTCCTTGGCCCTTCGCTCCTGCTTCTTGGTAAGGATGGCGGTCTCGGTGGGTCCTTGGGTCTGGGCTGATGGTGGGAGCCAGAGGAGGAGGAAAGACAGGGGCAGGGAAGAGGAAATGTGGGGCAGGGTGGAGACAGGCAGTGTGTGTTTGTGTATATATATGTGTGTGTGTGTATATATATATATATCTGTGTGTGTGTGTGTTTGGGCTTCCAAGGTGGCGTTAGTGGTAAAGAACATGCTTGCCAAGGCAGGAGACATAAGAGACGCGGGTTCGATCCCTGGGTTGGAAGATCCCCTGGAGGAGGTCATGATAACTCACCCCAGTATTCCTGCCTGGAGGATCCCCATAGACAGAGAAGCCTGTCAGGCTATAGTCCATGGGGTCACAAGGAGTCAGACATGACTGAAGCAACTTAGCACGCATGCACGTGCATATCCAGGGGATCTTCCCAACCTAGGGCTTTAACCTGGGACTCCCGCAACGCAGGCAGATTCTTCACTATCTGAGCCACCGGGGAAGCTCATATGTGTGTGTGTGTGTGTGTGTGTGTGTGTGTGTGTATACACACACACCTCTCCCTCTCCCTCCCTGCCTCTTCAGGGGAAATTCTTTATTCCTTTGAAAGTTCTCAGTGTCCCTCAGTAATGTTTTCTGTTCACTTTGGTGGGTTCCAGGATATTTGGTTTTCTCTGACTCAACTTATAATTCCTGGACGTTTAAGCATCCTAAGACCCTCTATGCCTGGGATGGAGCCTGCGTCTGGATCCCTTGCACATACAGTTCGCTACAGGGTGGTGGACACATCCTAGATAACCTGACTGTGTACCACAATTTTACATATAACAAGATGGCCAAGAACTACATTGGGACCATCCTGTATTCTAAGAACCTGACAACTGAGGAGTCTACCTCCAGTCAGGAAAGGGTACGATTCCTGGGAAACCGCAGAAACAACTGTACGCTCCTCATTAATCCTGTCAGAGTCGATGACAGCGGTCTTCTGGGGCTGAGGGTGATGTCGAGGACTGACAAATGGATGGCGTCTCTAAACCTCAGCATCTCTGGTAAGGCCCTGAGGATGGGTCCCTTTGTCTCAGCAGGCAGGGTGGTGGGGAAACATCCGACTCCTGGGACCGATCACAAACTGGGCTGCCTGCTGAGGCCAGACGGGGATGCCAGAGGCTCACCAGGGTGGCTGAAGGGCCCCGTGGTACCCACGGCAACCTGGAGTGTGGGCGTTCACCCCCCCTTGAGCAGACTGCCTGACACTCAGCTCCTGTGCATTCCAGAATCTGGCTTCCGGGTTGCCTGATTTTTCCATAGAATGTGGAGATCTGAATTTTTGAGGGAAACCTCCCAATGCGTTAATGTGAGGGATTAATTCTAATTAGCCCTTTGCGGCTACCTGACACAAGGATAGGGCATGAACAAAACACAGGTGTGGGGCCCCCACCCCAGACGGCATGCCCACTCTGTTCCACAGCCTGTGGATTTGGTGGGTGTTTCTATGCAGCCCTATGTTTGGGGTGAGAGATGCCACAGCATCATGAGGGTGGCCCAGCCCCGGGGACAGCAGAGACTGGCTGCACAACAATTCTCTCCACTAAAGGAGAGTAAACACTGATAAGGCAAACACCAGGGCGTGTGATTGAAGTAAGCACAAAACATAAGACACAGTTCCTCAGGAGGATCAGCTTTCACAAGCCCTTTCAGAGGGTATTTCGGCTGAGCAGAGAAAGGCAGGCCCGGAGAGAGGTGGACGGAGTGGCCGGGGATTCCTGATGGGTTATGTGGGGCAGGGTGTCGAAAGTGGGTCCATCTCTCGGGCTTCCAGCATGGTCTCTGCTCTTTTTGTTTTTCTTTTTTTAAGAAAGGTTTTATTGAGATATGTCTAATACAACTCACCTACTAAAAGTGTTCAGTTCAGTGTTTTTTAGTGTTATTTATAGACATGTTCAACCATTACCACAGTCAATTTTAGAACATTTTCATCACCACAGAAAGAACTGCAGTGCCTTCATCTGTCACTCCCATGATGGTTAATTTGTGTGTAGAGATGGCTGGGCTACAGTAGGCTGGAATGTGATCGAACATTATTTTGGATTTTCTATGAAGATGTTTTTAGATAAGATTAATATTTCTTTTATTTTTAAAAACGTATTTAATTGGAGAATAATTACTTTATAATATTGTGATGGTTTTTGCATACATCAGTATGAACTGGTCACAGGTATACAGGCGTCCCCCCATCCTGAACCCCCCTCCCACCTCCCTCCCACCCTATCTGCCCAGGTTGTACAAAGAACATTGCTGTGGGTGCCCTGCTTCACACACCAAACGCACACAGGTTATCCATTTTGCATATGGCAGTGTGTATGTTTCAGGGCTACTCTCTCAAATCATCCCACCCTCTCCTTCTCCCACTGAGTCCCTGCTCTTTTGCAGAGAGGGCTCCTCAACCCCACATAGAGCTCCCTCAGGAAATCCGGGAGGACCAGGAAGTCACTGCCACCTGCTCGCTGAATTTCGCCTGCCATGATTACCAGATCCATCTGCAGTGGTCCCTGGAGGGGTCTGTGACCACTTCTACCATCCTCTCCACTGAGACAGTCGCCACCCAGAGCAACCTCAGTTTCCAGCCCAGCTGGACTCACAATGGCAAGAACCTGACCTGCCAGCTCTGGGACCCCATGAAAAAGCGGCTACTCTCGGAGAAAACAGTGTTGCTGGAAGTGAAGTGTGAGTCTCCCCGATGCTCCTGTGGGAGGGACGAGGGTCCTGTCATCTCTTCTCCCCCTCAAAGGGGCATGGGAGCTCAGAGAAGGAAGCGTGATGGGTCTGTGGGCTCCCGCAGATGGGAATGGTCCAGGCAGAGCTGCGGCACCTCCTCTATCTTTCCCATCATCAGCGCTGGTGTTTCAGGGTACGGATTCATGTTAGCATCTGCTTCCCAGGTGGCTCTCGTGGTAAAGAACCCACCTGGCCAAGCAGGAGACATAAGAGACGCAGCTTTGATCCCTGGGTTGGGAAGATCTCCTGGAGGAGGGCATGGCAATCCACTCCAGAATTCTTACCTGGAGAATCCCCCTGGACAGAGGAGCCTGACAGGCTACAGTCCATGGTGTCACAAAGAGTTGGACAAGACTAAAGCGACTGAGCACGCACACATGCCAGTCAAACAGAATAAAATAATCTATCCTCAAGCCATGACATGATTTGGGGATCACTTGGCTAAGGGTTTTTTGTTCCCCTGGGGGGATGGGGTGAAGAAGTTTTTCACATCATTACTGGAGCCTCATTCATTCATTCAATAAATATTTATTGTGAACCTACTAGGTGCTAAGCCGTATTATGGCTGCCAGGCATAGAGCAGTGAGCAAAGTTCTTGCCCGTGTGGAACGAGCATTGAAGTGGGGGACAGGAGAGCAAATAGATGATCAGGGGAATACAGAACATAATTGTAGGTTGTACTAAGTGTAGTTAAGAAAAAATAGGGACTTCCTTGGTGGTCCAGTGGTTAAGACTCTGCCTTACAATGCAGGGGGCATGGGTTCAGTCTCTAATCAGAGAACTAAGATCCCACATGGTGGAGAGCAGCTAAGCTCATGTGCCAAAACCAGAAAGTCCATGTGCTGCAACTAGAGAGTCTGTGCTCCACAACTAGAGAGTCCATGTGCTGCAACAAAAGATCCCACATGATGCAACGATGACCCATGTCCTGCAACTAAGTCCCAACTCAGTTAAATAAATATCTAAAAAGGGAAAAAGTAAAAGGAAATCAAGGCTAGAACAGAGAGAGTGAAGGGTGGAGGCTGAACTCAGTGAAGGAAGCTGAGGCTCAGTGAAGGGAGGGACTGAGGCGGGCATACAGTATCTTTGTAAGAAGAGCATTCCAGGGAGAGGCAAGAACAAGTCCAAGACCTTGAGGTAGGAACTTGGCATGTCTGCATCAGAGCAAGGGGCTCTCAACCTTGGCAAGGTGTCCAAGGGGCCCAATGGTAGGAAAGGAAAGCCGAGAGGAACTGGGACACTAGATCTCAGGGGCTGCAGTGAGGGGTTTAGGTTTTTCTCTAAGTGTGGAATCCACCGAACAGCTTCAAGCAGGGGCGTGGCAAGCTCTGATGGACCGTCCTGGGAAGGCTGCTGGCTGCTGGCAGAGACCAGAGCTTTGGGCCCTGGGGTTGGGGGGAGCAGAGAGATGACTTGGGAGACTGTGACAGTCCCCTGGTGCTTGGACCAGCCCACCTTTGTTGACAAGGGCAACAGGGAGTGGCTCCAGACTCTCGTCCTGTGTAGGCTGCTACTTTATCAGAATAAAAGGGCTGCAACTTCTCAGCACTTAACACCCTCGGAGAATTCCCTACCCCTTCTGCACTGTCCTCTGCTCCTCCAGATGCACCAAAGTTGAAGATCCAGGTCAGCCCTGAAGAAGCCACCGTCACAGAGGGAGAGTCTGTGACCATGAGGTGCCAGGTCATGAGCAACCCGCCGCACAAGAATGTGTCCTGGTTCAAGGACAGGGTTCGACTGAAGGAGCAGGGGACAACAGTCACTCTGCCCGAAGTGACCAGGACGATGAGCGGGCAGTACACGTGCCAGGTCTCCAATGAAGTGGGCACAAGACGGTCAGACGCAGTGGATCTCCAGGTGCACTGTGAGCCTCCCGGGAGATGCAAAAGGGGCAGGCTAGGGGCAGCAGGGGCGCCACCCAAGCTCTCAGGAGGGGACCATAGAGGCCTCTGCTCACACCACCCCCCGCCTCGGCCCCTTCTTCCAGATGCTCCAGAACCTTCCTCGGTTCAGGTCTCCCCCTCGTCAATTAAAGAAGGAGTTACAGTAGAGCTGGCTTGTATATCAGCAGCCAACCCTCCTCCAGCTAATTACACTTGGTACTTCAATGGCCAGGAAATGCTTGGAAAGAACGGCAGGACCTTCCAGATCCCTCAAGTCCTCATCAAGCATGCTGGGAGGTACTCCTGCTTGGCAGAAAATAGTCTTGGGCCTGGATCTGTTGACCAGGAAGCTGACTTGGACGTCCAGTGTGAGTAGTCACAGAGGAAATAGAAGAGTCCGAGAAGGGACAGCAAGTGGAAACCAGGGGCTCCTGACAGATGAGCTTCTGGGAGGCGGGCATTGTGCTATTGTTCACAGTCGTGTCCTTAGCACCAGAACAGGGCCTGGCTGGTGGGAGGTGCTCAGTAGATGTTTGTTGACTGAATGAATGGCAAGCTGCCAGGGTCCCGTGAGGGACAAGGAGACTTGGCGTTGCTAAGCAGCAGCTGAGTCCCTGGAGGGGTCCTGAAGTTTTCGAGAACTGGGGCAAAATGCCTTGTTTACCCCTCTGTCATCTGGCCCTGTTTAGCACCAGTGGGTCTTGGCACTGAGCAGAGCCCAGGACAAAGAGAGTCCCTGGATTTGATCCTTGGACCCTGGGGTGTCATAGTATGGGCCAAATACACTGGATATCCAAATCCTGGAATCTAGACAACGGATATGGTTTACACTAGTAGCAGCAACGTGTTTACCACCTGCCATGTGTCGCTAATGGCCTCCTCTCACTCCATCCTCACAATGGTTCCACAAGGTTAGCTACTCACAGGACCCAATCTGACAGATGAGTAAACTCAGGCCTGCAGCTTCCAAGAGGCAGGATCCAGCAGTCTGGCTCCAGAGCTATGCTTTTCTTTTTTAAATGAACGCCCTTGCTATATGACCAAGCCTTGACAGTCCCCAGACCCATGAAGAGATCCACAAACAGCTGCCCCTCCTTGCTCAGCACCATATGTACGTACTCTGCCCAGGGCTGTGCTCTTAACCACTGCACCATCCTGCCTCTAACCACAACCAGGCCAAATGGCCAGGGCAAGAGGGAAGCTCAAGCCTTCCCTCAGCTAACTGATAAACTGCGTCAATGCAGGGCATGGGGAGAGCAGAGAGGAAGCCGGAAGGAACAGATACTGATATTAGAGGTGGCTGTCTTTTCTTCATTCATCTCTCTGGTTTTCTCCCAGATCCCCCCAAGGGGGTCACCACGGTGATTCAAAACCCCACACTGATTCGGGAAGGAGACAGTGTGACCCTGTCCTGCACCTTCAATTCCAGTAACCCCAGAGTTACTCGATATAACTGGAACAGCCCAGGCTCCCAAGACCAAACATCACAGGAAAAGCTGACGATTCAGAAAGTCACCTGGGACGCAGCGCCAGTCAAATGCGAAGCCTGTAACCAGTGGTGTTCGTGGTCTCCCTCTGTCAGCCTGAATGTCCACTGTGAGTGCCCCAGGCCCGGGGGAACTGGGGGGTAGGCCAGTTTGGATAACGAGGTTCTAAGAGTGAGGAGCCCGAAGCCTGAACCACAGTCCTCACTGAGAAGTGAGGGATGAGTCAGGCCTCAGAGCCAAGGGGCGAGGGAGTCTTGGGGACAGGAGGACAGGAGGAGGGAAAGGGACCCCAGAGATCAGCCTGAGGTCTTTGCTTTCCAGATGCTCCCAAGGACGTCAGCATCCAGATCAGCCCTCATACAGAGGTCCGATCTGGGGAGCAGGTCCTCCTCCGGTGTGAGTTCTCAAGTAGCCATCCCGAGGATGTCCACTACTTCTGGAAGAAAGATGGAAACCTTCTTGAGAAACGGAAGACACTTACCTTTGACTCCATCTCTCCAGAAGATTCGGGAACCTACCACTGCTTGGTCAACAACTCCATTGGACAGACCTCATCTGAGGCCTGCGAGCTCCGAGTGCTGTGTGAGTGGCTGGAGCTGGAGGCAGACGGCAGAGATGGGCAGAGGACCAGAGACCTGAATCCTGACTTTGCTTGTCCCTCAGATGCTCCCAGGAGGCTGCGTGTGTCCATCAGCCCGAAAGACGGCGTGGTGGAGGGAAAGATGGCAGTCCTGACCTGTGAGAGCGACGCCAACCCTGCCCCCTCCCACTACAACTGGTTTGATGGGAATAACCAAGACCTCCACCATTACGGTCAGACGCTGAGGCTGGAGCCCGTGAAGCTGCAGCACTCAGGCAGCTACTGGTGCCGGGGGGCCAACCGTCTGGGCCAGAGCCAGTCGCCCCCCACCACCCTCACTGTCTACTGTAAGGGCCCCTGTCTTCTTCTCGGGCCCTGGCCACTCCTGGGGCTTCCTCCTTGGCTATGTTGCTGTGTGTTCAGACCACATCCCTGCCCTGGCCCTGCCCACCCTCCCTCCCCTGCAGGGCCCCCCTGCTCCACACACAGCTCTTCCATCTTCCTTTTCTTGCTCAGTCTCTGCAGACTCCAGAATGACTGCCTCTCTGCCTGCCCCCCTCCTTCCAGACACGCTGAGCGCCTATTGGCTCCCTCTTTCTTTCCCTCCCTCTCTGTCTCACCCTTGATAGGCTGCTTGTTTCTATCTTTTGATTTTTGCCTCCTCTCCTCCCTCAAGTCTTTCACTGTTGGCTGGGTATGTCTCCTTGCAGAAGTATTCTGGTCGTGCACAATAGGCTTCTAGAGACCCGTGTCCATACACCCTTCTTTGTCACTTAGATGGTGAAAGAACTCACACAATGCCTTGAATTTTCCTTTCTTCATGTAATGGGGGCTTCCCTGGTGGCTCAGATGGTAAAGAATCTGCCTGCAATCCTGGAGACCCAGGTTCGATCCCTGGGCCAGGAAGATCCCTGGGAGAAGGGAAAGGCAACCCACTCCAGTACTCCTACTGGAGAATTCCATGGACAGAGAGGCCTAGTGGCCTACAGTCTGTGGGGTCTCAAAAAGTCGGACACGACTGAGCGGCTAACACTTTCACTTTCCATGTAATAACAGCACTTGGAGATTGTTCTAGATTTGTGTGCAAATAGGTGTCTGAAGAATCTGGAAACATAGGGGGAAATATTTACTTATTGTGTTTTTTCAGATTAGTGATTGGAGCCTCTAAATTTAAATTTACAGGGTCATCACCACTCATTGGCTAAAGGGAGCCAATCTGAGGGTGCCATTCAGAAAAGTAACTTAAAACCACGTTCCCTAGGTCTTCCCTCCGCAGACACCCTGAGACCTGCTTCTTTTCCTCAGGGTGCAATATTGAAAAACTATGTGCCCAGTGCCCTCCTCAAGGCTGGACACAGTCTCCTGCTCCGGGCATACCCACAAGGAGAATTGTAGGCTAGGTTATCTCCTGGACTCACTGGGTTGAAGGACAAGTGACTTTAAGTAAAGTCAAGTGGCCCTTGGGGCTTCCCAGGTGGTGCTATGCAGGAAATGCAAGATCCCTGGGTCAGGAGGATCCCCTGGAGGAGGGCATGGCAACCCACTCCAGTCTTCTTGCCCGGAGAACCCCATGGACAGAGGAGCCTGGAGGGCTGCAGTCCATGGGGTCGCAAAGAGTTGGACACAATTGAAGTGACCTAGCACACGCTCACACTCAAGAGGTCTTCTGATGAGACGGTTTATAGGGTCGCGTGCTCTTCGTGTGCCCAAGTCTGTCACAAAGCAGGCACTCCTCTTGAAAACTGACTGCACTTCCCTTCTAATGAGATGTCCAGAGGGCAGGGCCGGCTTCTCTCTCTTTTTCTGAGTCACATGCCCAGGGCATGGAGGAGTCTCGCAGGCTAGAAGGACAGTGGCCTCGCAGAGAGAAGCCGAGGATGCCTCCCAGGCAAATGGCGGAGCGGGCCTGCTCCCCGACTGAGGCTGTGTCATCCACTGACGAACCTCCCTTCTCCATCAGACAGCGCTGCCACCATCAGCAGACGTGCGGCCTTGGGAGTGGGGTTCTGCCTGGCCATCTTCCTTCTGGCCATCTGGGGAGTCAAGCTTCAGCGGAAGTGAGTGCCTCCCACCGCCCGCCTCCTTTGTTTTGCTTCCCCCATCCCAGTGGGTGGGTCCCTGGTCACGCAGCCCTGCAGCCCCCAACATGCCAGGTCCTCAGGGCACTCTCCCAGGCCCTTTGTCTTCCCTGATCACGTCTTTATTTCTCAGCTGGAAGAGGATTCAGAGACAGCAGGGCCTTCAGGAAAGTTCCACTGGACAGAGCTTCTTTGTGAGGAACATAAAGGTAGGAGGGCAGAAAGAGGAAATGCAGGGCAGGTCTTGAAGTCAAGAAAGAAGCAAAGTGGAAAATCAACTATGTGTCAATTAAAAAAATAAAAAAGAACTTTCCTGGCGGTCCAGGGGTTAAGACTTCGCCTTCCAGTTCAGGGCATGTTGAGTTCCATCCTTGGTCAGGTAGCTAGGATCCCAGATGCCACAGGACCAACAAACTGAAACATAAGCCAGAAGCAATATTGTAACAAATTCAATAAAGACTTTAAAAAGGAGGGTCCACATTAAAAAAAAAATCTTTAAAAAGAAACACAGTGGACATGGGTGATAGAGTACTGTGGGGGTGGGTGGGGGAGCTAGGATGGGGAGAAGAGGGGTAAGAGCTGAAATTTTGTCTTTCTCTCAGGCTAGAAGGACCCCCCAAGCTGAACGCCCCCACTCCCTGGGGTGCTACAACCCCGTGATGGAAGATGCAGTCAGCTATGCTACCTTGAGCTTTCCTCTTGGAGAGGCTGACACACAGAGACTTAGGTACCAGGGGGTGTCACCTGCACCCTGGGAGGGCCATGGGGCAGGGCTCCCGTCCTGCCTTCCTCTTTGCTTCGTCTTCTCATTCCAGCTCTATAACAATCCCCTGGAGAATGGTCGGGGGAACTGGATCTATGCCTTCAAGCCGGGGCCAGTCTCCCTCGCCGAGGCTGAGGCTTCATGAAACGTACACACATACGTTCACTAGGTGGACACCTGAGCGCCTGCTCTGAACACTGGACATCACACACAGGGTGCTTGAGAGGCTGGGGGTGCTCTTAGGGGCTGGGGGAGTTGGAAAAAGGAGCAAATGGCATGCAAAAGTCTTCACCTATGGTTATCGATCTGCCTTCCCTCTCAGAGACGCAGAGAGCTCAGAGATGAGGGAAATTCCCCCAAGCAGGGACGACAGCGTCACCTATGCTGTGGTGCAGAACCGTCAAGTGGTGAGAGGCAGGGCTGTGGGAGGCGGGCGGAGGGGGGGCCTGGCCTCGCCCCTGAGTCCCAGACGGGAAGGACCCGGGTGGGCTCCGTGGTGGCAGAGGCTGAGCAGTGGGGAGGGCTGCCCAGGCCCCAGCATGGTCAGAGCCCAGGCAGGCGCCTCCCAGTTACAGAGGTTGGCTGTGGCCAGTTTCCAGACAAGAGAGCTTCGTCTTGGGCCCTTGGACCCCAGGGTGGGGGTGGGGGGAGCCAGGAGAGAAGGGGCAGTGGGAGTGGACAGTGGGAGGCTGCTCACCACACTGTGGCTTCCTCAGGCCGACTATGAGAACGTGACTCCGGAGGTCCTAGACGATGAGGGCATTCATTACTCGGAGCTGGTCCACTTTGGGAATGGGAAGCGGGCGCTGGCCCAGGAAGGAGTGGAATACGTGACCCTCAAGCACTGATGGGCCAAAACCTTCTCAGTCCCCACTGCTCTGCTGGGGCATTATACATGTGCATGCACGCATGCATGGTTATTGCAACCCAGCTGGTGCAGAGAACTTTGTTCGTGGCCCAGACACGGTCTCCCTTCTTAGCACTGGTAACCCTTCAACGGGTTTGTTCCTGGTCCTTTCCTCCCAGCATCTCATCTACATACCTACCCTGAACTGTACACATCTTCCCCCTGCCCCTCCCCAGCCATCTGTCACCACCTGTGTGTGTGTGGTCTGTTAGTCACTCAGTAGTGTCCAACTCTTTGTGACCCCATGGACTGTAGCCCGCCAGGCTCCTCTATCCATGGGATTCTCTGGGCAAGAATACTGGAGTGGGTTGCCATGCCCTTCTCCAGGGGATCTTCCCAACCCAGGAATAAACCTGGGTCTGCTGCATTGCAGGCAGAACCTTTACCATCTGAGCCACCATCTGCCCCCTCCCAAACCCCATCCCCTAGATGGCTGTGTCCCCACTGGGATCAGCTGGTCATTATTTTTATTTCTCCCTCACCCTGTTCCTTTGACAAGTGACCCCTGCTCTAATAACTGCACTCACTAATATAATGCCTAATTTTTGCCTCTGGGACAAAGCCTGGGAAATGAGGAATAGAAACGAGGTAGAGAGAGGCACTGCCCTGGGCCAGTTCCTCTTCTAGGAGGCATTCCACGTAGTGGATTATGCTGCTGCGGCCCCTGTCCTTGGAGGTCTTGGGGTCTGAGATGTACACCGATGTGGAGACACATGTAACAGACACAGAGCTGCACAATAAACCTGACTCAGACATCGCATCAAAGAGCCAGTGAGTGATTTCCAGTCTGCAGAGTCTGAGTGGGGACAGGGAGATGGGGCAGGCATCCTGGGGCTTGGGAAGAGGGGAAAGGTCATGATCAAATCACCAGACTGGACAGCCCATCTTCTGGTTGCCGAGAGTCCACTGGTATCACAGACAGAGTCTGGGTCTTGACTCTTCCACTTGACCAGCCAAGTGAGCTTGGGCAGAGTTCACCGGCTTCTCTGAGCCTCAGTTTCTTCATCTGTTAAAAAGAAGATGCAGGTGGTTCGAGATAGGAAATGAGCTATAATCTTATGTCATATTATAAGAAGGCTAACATAGCAGCCAAAAGTCCCTAAAAATCAAATTTCTATCTGATTTGCATTTCTTGAAGACCGTGAAAAGGGGAAGCCAACTCATTACTCACAGCACTTCTCAAAAAGTGACCCTGCTGAGTTCTTTCGCAACCCACAGCTGCATGCCTTCTCGAAGACCTGGAGGGACCCCTCACTCTTTCTACCTTCATTTACCCGCACTCATTTTTCTAGTATACTCCCTGGCCAACTTGCCCTCTGCTTCTCCATCTGTTCTCTCTATCCGTTCCACTTCTGCCAAGGGGCCAAAGCCCATTCTCCTTTGGAGCAGGAAGGTGTGGTTCATCAATCAGCAAGATGCCCAGCAAATTACTGGCCTGTGATGGGTGCTCTAAGGCATCACCTTCCTTTCCTGCCCCCACCTTTCCCCCCTGCCCAACACCAGATGCTCTCTGCAAGGTCGTCCCTCTGAGAAGTGGGGTGCTGATTTCCCCATCTTCTTGTCCCTGGTTTGACTTCTTCCTTTTTTTTCTTTCTTTATTGGCCACGCCATGTGACTTGGGGCAACTCAATTCCGAGGCCCTCATAGTGAGAGTGCTGAGTCCTAAACACAGGACTGCCATGGAATTCCCTGGTTTGACCTCTTGTGAGCACCATATGCTTTTCTAGAGAAGGCTTTGAGGACTGTTGAAATAGAGAGAAAGGGCTTGGGAACCAGAATCACTGAACCCATTCAACCATTTACCTACTGAACACCTGTCACTGCATCCAGCACAGAACCAGTTATTGGGATACCAAAAGAAGATAGAGCATGGTCCTCATCTTAGGGGTCCCTGGTCTAGCTGGCCAGAGGGTTTTAGATGCCCAAGGAGCTGACGGCAGCCTGAAGAGGCCTGGTACGGGGTTCCCTGGCAACCAGCAGTGGCTTCCATCCTGGCCCCGTGCCTGGCTGCTGATACTAGCCTTCTTCATGACCAATTGCCCGAGAGATTTAGCTGTCATCAGGCCCCACCGAGATGTGCACAGCAGAGTGGGCAGCGCTGGGGCCAGAACACATGTAGCCCCGCATCCAGCCCCAGACCTCACCATCCTCCCAGAGCCCAGACAATAGACCATTCATCCGACTCAGTGAGCCCCTGCTGCATATGCAACAGGCAGAGGACAGAGTAGACAGAAGGCTTTGCCCTCACCGGCCAACATTCTAGCAGTTGTTGCTGCTTAGTCACTAAGCCATGTATGACTCTTTTGGGAGCCCATGAACTGTAGCCCACCAGGCTCCTCTGTCCATGGGATTCTCCAGGCAAGAATACAGGAGTGGGTTGCCATTTCCTTCTCCAGGAGATCGTCCCAACTCAGGGATGGAGCTTGCATCTCCTGCATTGGCAGGAAGATTCTTTACCACTGAGCCACCAGGGGAGCCGTACATTTTAGCAGAGGAGCTGGCAAATCTGATGTCGCAGAGTTTCAGGTGCTCGGAATAAACAGAGAATGACAGCAGAGGGGCTGGAGCAGAGGCAGGGCCCATAGGATGCAGGGACCAGGGGCGTCTCTGAGGAAGTGATGCTTGGCAGACAACTGAACTGCCAGGTGGGAGAGCCAGTGGAGAAGGGCTTGAAGACCCGCGGTCTCCCTTGGAGCCCAGCTTTGTTCATCTCCCAAACACTCATCGCAACAGGTAAAATGGCACTTCCATTGATTTTTTTCCCCCAGCCCTGTCAATTTCTGAGTGTTTCCAAAAGACAAAACCCTAAAGAGCAGGTGGGGAGTTCTTCTATATCCCAGGGGAGGTGCTGGATGACACAGGCAGGACTGGGAAGGGAGGTGACAAAGAACCTGAGATTCAAAGAGAAATACGACCATTTCTTCGGACGGAGCTGTGGATCCTCTGAGACTCTCACGCTGCCCGCACTTGAAGCCTGATGGGAAGCACTTTCAGGGAGCCACTTGGAGACGCTTATTCTGGGTGACGTGGAATTCGGGGAGGACATAGTGGCCTGGTGACTGACACACACTCTCAAGAAAGCTGAAGTCCAGAGAGGCCGTACTGTCAGTCTCACACAGGAGAGAGACAGATGGATAGACAGACACTTGCTCAAAGACAGAAAGACAGGATCACAGAGAGCCTGGGGCCATTTAAATCTCACTTAGGGAGGATGGGGCCTCCCAGGTGGCTCAGTGGGTTAAAGAGCCGGTCTGCAATGAAGGAGATGCAGGGAGATGCGAGTTCAATCCCCAGGTCAGGAAGTCCCCCTGGAGAAGGGAATGGCAACCCATTCCAGTATTCTTGCCTGGAGAATCCCATGGACAGAGGAGCCTGGTGGCCTACAGCCCATGGGGTCGCGAAGAGTCGGACACGACTGAAATGACTAAGCAGGTACGTAGGGAGGATGACGCCAACAGGGAAGTGAACGACCGAGTTCCCAGAGGCTGAGATGAAAGGTAAGCAGCCAGATGGAGGCACGTGGAACCCAGTGTCCCCTACAAGTGCCCCCAGGAGGGGTCCCCTCTGCCATCAGTGCAGCTCAGAGAGGGGCAGGGCGGACCACCGCCCGGTACTTCAGTGCCATCCATCTCAACTTTGTTTGCTCCTGGTCTCTCCTCCTCCTACTCCTGCTGACACGGGGAGGATCAATAACCACTGTCGGGGACTTCCCTGGTGGTCCAGTGGCTAAGACTACATGATCCCAATGCAGGGCATCCAGGTTCAAGCCCTGGTCAGGGAACTAGATCCTGCATGCTGCAACTAAAATCCAGCACAGCCAAATAAATGAATAAATATGAAAAAAAGCAACAACAGTCTTCAGGCAAGAGGGGAGGGCAGAGGGAGAGGGAGGATGGGCCTGTTATCAGGTATGGGGAGAGCGGAAGCTCCAACTAGGCATGATGATCTCATTATCCCACATTATCCCACCTACTACCTGCCAAGTGGAGATGCTATGGTGACCAGAGGGACTTTTTTAGTCTCTGAGAGTGAGCCCAGCCCTGCCCACGAGCTCATCCAAGAGTAGTAGCCTCAAACCCCAAGCCAGGTTTGAACAGACTGGTGGGGGTGGGGGAGAATAAAACTGTGTTCTGGTTGTACCCCACCCACCCTGCTCTTTAAAGGTGCTGGCCAGCCACACTTCCCTCCACCCAATGAAAGCCCACACCTCTAACCTCTCCCCTTCCTGTCTGTGTTCACATCACCTTGGACCCTCACCTCCTTCGGAGATGGTCCATTAGCTGCTCATCCAGGCTGTGAGTGCTTCAGGCTAATGGCCCTGCCACCCCGCCCTTCTCTCCCTTCCGGCTCACTGCCCATCGTGGCCACCCTCCCTGGGGGACTCCTGAGCCTCAGACATCTGGCAGCACCAGGAGGTGAGTCCCTCTTTCTATGGCTTCTCTCCCTGTAAGAATGATTCCCAAGATCCCTGCAAGAATGATTGCCCAAATCCCCAGATGCCTCCACTCAGGGGGAACCCCTGAAGTCAGCTAAAGTCATTCCCCTACACCAAGGGGACTTGGCTTGCCCCTGGACTCTCCTCAGGCGACCCTCTTCTCCTGCCCATGACCACAATCTTCACCTTCCCCATACCCCGACGTCTCCTTCCCTCAGCTGAGAGCTGCCACCTGCCCCACATTGCCTGCTACAGGGGAGCAGGGCCCTCTCTTTCCAGGGAATTAGGAAAGGGGCATGAACACAGGAGTCTAGACTCCTCTCTTGAGAAAAACATCCTCTCGGGCTTAACTCTGGTTCTGAACTCTCTCCACCCCTTGTTTTCCCAGAGGCTCAGGAATCAGGAGGTCCTGTCTCTCCTGGGACCTGCCCACCTGTGTTCCATCTCCCCGCTGTTACCAGCAATCGCATGCTCCATTTTAAGGGGGCACGTGGTGAAGAGAAAGC